CAAAACGCATTAAATTAATGTCAGACAAACTTAGGAAATTTATGCGTTGGGATGACGCATAAAAAAAAAACATATAATTTCTCTGGGTAAATATGAGACAAAACAACAGACCAAATTATTTGAACTTTGAATTTGCTGACCTAAGCGCCCAAAAATCTCTCTCACAATAACTTGTTGTTGTTGACTCGCGAGTTTTGGACGTATCGTATTTAACTAGACTCACTTTATGCTAGGCTGCGTTTCTTTGGAATGATGCGAACTAGCATCACTGATCCAACATCACTCGGATCATAGTGCATCAAAGGATCTGGTGAATCCAGAGTGGATTCATCCGTTCCTTTAATACACCAAGATCTGAGTTACCTTGGATCACTGGTCCTAATCCAGATCATCCCAAAGGAACGCATCCCTAGCCACATTGTTCGTCACCCTAGAAAAATGCAGCCAATGGCGCGTTACACATTATAACAATGCCAAGTGCTAATGTCAACTTATGGTCAATCTAGGACTATCGTCTCCTATAACTGTCAGTTTTATACCACCAGAATCGCCCACTGTGATATGACAGAGATAACCCACGGTGCTGACCCCAAAAAATATACCTACTAGTGTGATAGAGGAGCGTTTGTAACTTAGACAAGTGAACTAAGAAGTTACCTTGACAGATAGCAGTCTTCAGTTCACGTGCACGGAAAATCCCTCCTACCTAGCCCCCCACGTAAACGTTCCTTGTGCTCGTCACGCGAGGAAAGATTCCTTGACGAGCCTAAAGGCCGTTTACGTTGGGGGTTAGCGACACAGAAGGCGATTTTGCACGCCGAAATTCGTTGCTTTGCGCATGGCAAATAGCAGCGATTTCAATCGGATTTCACGGCGGTCGAAATCTCTGGTGAAAATCGCGCCATTTAACAGGTACAAAAGACGGTTTTCCGGACGAAAGTATAGAATCGCCTATGGTATCGTTAGTGTGTCGTTGTCATTATTTCTTACGTACGTGCTACACAAGACAATTAATCCTACTCAATTAGCTTTTACACTTTCCCTAAAGAAATGGACAAGGAAAAAAATACACCTTAGGAGCTCTGGGTTTGGCTGCTTGCTGGCGTCTTTGTCCTTTGGGTTCCGTTCTCGTAACTTACGCGGTTGCAATAAACAAACAACAAGCTCTTTCATGTCCCCAAAAGATAGATCAGGCCATAATTTCTTACCAAACTGTGACTTAGTCAACCTAACTGCGTCTTCTATCTCACCACCATCTACACGCCAGGTGAAGATACGCTGTGTTTTGTCATAAAACTTCATGACATCGCCCACTGTTCTACAGGCGCGCAACTTTGGTATCAGTTCAGGATTCAAATCTTGAACACACTTTGACGCAGGGCATTGTTCTTCATCCAAGAGTTTTGTCTTGGCGTGAGGAATGGTTGCAGTAGTCCACAGTCCACTACAGTTGTTGAATTGCGACTGAACTGAATTCTCCTTTGAATTAGGGATAATAACATCCAAGTCACACACCACAGCATGCGGAATGCCCAAATCATGACATATTGCTGTAGCTTTGTAGACATTTTTCTTGCCGCTGATTGACAGGACAATACAGCTGCGGACGGCTTCTTGGATCTTGGATAAGAGTTCTTTGGTGTAGTACTTTCTTTTATAAGCTGGATCTTGCAAAAGGTTTTCTACAGCTACAGGCAGATCTGTGCCGTAGGTTTGAGAAGATTCGGGCAAAGAACCATCTGAGCCTCCGGTCATGTTGGCAGCAGCTGACCCAGGTTCTAATAGAGCTTTAAAGAGCTCCGGGTTTCCTTCATCAAATAACCTCAACAACGCCTCGATAAATCTCTTGTCGCTTTCCCCCTCGACCCAAACAATGTATCGCGCAAAAAATATCTCCCTCACTTCCGCTCCACCAATGAAGTGTAAATCTCTGACGTTGTAATGCGATCTAACACGCCTTATTTGGCAATAACCGGATGGGAGAACTTGGAACCTCCAAATCAGGTTGATTCTTTCAACTTCTACCACTTCTGGCGAGTGCGTCGTGGTTATAATGCACTTTCTTCTGTTTCTTGATTCTCGCATGAGAATCGTTCTCAAGCGACGAACTTGCAACGGATGCATTCCTCGGGCAACCTCGTCGAAAATGATGGTTCGGCTAAATGGATGGACAACCAACGCAGCTACCACGAACGTAGAAAAAGTTCCTTCGGAAACACGCTGAATAATTCTGTTGGTTCCCTTGTCCAGAATTCGTAATGGGATGTCACCATCAAGGTCCAGCTCAAAAGCCAGACTCTGGTCACCCATTATCTCGTGAAACAAAGCAAGGGCGTCATCAATACGTTCTTGAGGTAAATTTTTAAGCAGGCTGACCATAATTAGGTTCTTGACATCCCGATACCTCAGTGTATCCCAGCCGCTGAGAGCCAGATCTGAATGCTCAGTGTCCAAGACGTCGGTGTCTGAAGATTCAGTAGGGACCATGGTAGAGTCGTTCAGGATATCCAGTTCCACCTTACGGAGGAAGGCCTCGTCCGGGCACCATTCCATAAGATCAACACCAGCTGGTAAGGGATCGTGAAAGGCTGCAGTGAGTTCACCATTGTTTTTGATGACTACCAAAACAACATCTTCGCAGACAACATAAAGGAACTGGCAATGAGATGGATTACTAGAATTAAAAGTCTTTCTTCCAGAAAACACGCGCACTAACCCTGAAACTGAACCAAATGTCTCCCTCAGCAGGTTAGTAAGTTCGGTTGGAAATTTTAGGACATCGTCTGAAAACCAAGAAAACAATCCTGAAACACAAGGAACAGTCGACAGAACTGCTCCAGTGAAATTCGAGGGTGAACTTTCAAAATATTGAGAGAGCTCTCGTCCATGTTGAAAATGAAACTCGCACACCGCTTTAGCGCTTGCAACGTTATTACCTATCACCTCAAAATCTTCATCGTTGTCAACAAAATTACTCGCTGCTTTGACTAAAGCCACAAAGCTGCTCTTGCCACTCGAGTTTTCGCCTACAAGAGTATGAAAACTACTGCCACACGCACTTTCCAAGTCAAGCTCTTGTCGGCCTTTAAAGATGATATAATTCTCAACCACAACCCGACGAAGCATGCTTCTTTACACCACGCTCATTTAGCACATCTTGAAATTAAAGATTTCCAGTCTGCCTTGTAGTATTACGTCATTTTGCTGCAGTTTAATTGATCTGTTTTAAAAAATAGAGGACAATTAGTACAAAACACGCGAAATTATTACCTTTACAGTCAGTATTAACAAGGTGACAATGTACCCGCTATGGAAAATTTCCAAGGGGGAACTATCAGACCGACAGTTCCGAGACATAAAACACTCTTTTGTCAATATTGTTCACTACTAAATTTTCTTCTACGCGCCTGTTTAAAAATCATATTAAAATATTTTCATCTCTTTTAGATGAAAGGCGTGAAAGGCAAATGTAAAATTTGAAAAAGAACACAGACAAAAACCGAACAAAAAAAATAAAAATATACATATATAACCATAATTTACCCTCGGCAGTGTTATAGCAGAAGTGCTAGTGGGGCCGAGCAAACAACTAGACCAATTAAACATAACATCGTTAAGAATCGCAACTGGCCGTGACAAATTGCGTCTTTCAATATTTTTCTCTAAGCCCACTTGTTTACAGACACACTTTCACGGACGAGTACTATCCAACCGAGTATTTTCCTCGGACAGGCATTTTGTTAACAACCACACACTGCTTGGTTACTCACTATCAACAACAGAATACATAGTGACTAGCTCAATATAAAAGGATAAAAGAAAGAAAGAAAGGGCATAGGCGTACGGGCACCTTCGGACTTGCGGGGCGGTGACCTCCTTGCTCGAAAAAAATATACGCAATGCCTGAACGTGCGAATGTTGAAATCGGGATGCAAACGCACCCAAATTGTATGAAAAACAAAACCCTTCACAGTTCTAACATCTAATGAAACTGCTATAATTCCAAATATAGTTGTATTGAAAGCTTGCCTACTCAACGATACTTCAGATCAGCAGCAGATATATATATGATACACTTTACACGACACTATACTGAAAGTACTAACTCTCTGAAGAGACCACTTGACAGCCTACAGACTTCTGGTCGGGCGTCTAATCACACAAAGATTCACAAAAATTAACTAACTAGAAACTTTATTTACAAGGTTTGGAAATAACCCACCAAAAGCATTATTTGGTAATATTTTCTCTCAAGTTTCGTTGCCCGAATCATACGCGTTACATCTTAATTTCCGTAGCTGTGGGGGGGGCTGCAGCCCCCCTTGCACCCCTCCCCCAGCTCGTATGCTTATGAGAAAGGGGTACCGGACAAATCATCTGATAAAGCTATTTAAAATGTCTCAGTCAGTTCCATGTACCAAGATTTTAATATATTTAGTTGGTATGCCAAATGATGGAACTCCAACTAGGCAAAGAGTAGACTTGTTGAAGAAATACATCATCTTAAGTATATGTGAAAGTCCCATCCTTCAAATAAAGATATGTTGCCTACAGTGCAAACTTTAAGGCACATCAAATGCCATTTGACAAAATCTACAACAAAGCAAGAACAATACACAACAGTGATAATGAACCTGAACAAGCCCCATTGTCTGTCAGAAAAAGATGTGGAGGTTTAATTCATGTGTAGAAATCGGCTTCTCAAGCTCAGAGGAATTGATAATGAAAACACAGTTTAACAGTACAATGTACATGAACAGGAAAGAGAGCAACATGCTTTCTGAACAAGGTAAATCTAGCCCACCAATGTACACCATTAAGAGAAAAGAGGGGAAATAAATTACAGCTTCCCCCAAAGAGAGGGCTGTATTTCCTCTTGCAGCAATCTGTGAAGGGGGGGGGGGAAGGTAGGAGATATAAAATTTGCAATTTCTTAAAATCTTCTTCCTTCCTCATGCAATAATGGTAGGTCCTTAATATCATTATTCACCCATCATACCAAGACTACGGACTGTTTGAGTCTGCGTGTACATTTTTGTTCAGTTGAGCCAGAGGAATAAGCCACATTTCAAAGCAGTAATATTTACTAGTTCCTCCATGTTGTCCTATGTAAGTCAGGTTGGGATAGGTTAGAGAGGTGGTAGGGGTGGGGGTGGGGGGCTGAATGCAGTGTGTTGACTATGTAGATGAGTGATGTAAGTGTTGTATGTTGAACTCGGTACTACCTTAAATTGTCTCACTGGTTTGACCTTCTGACTTCAGTAAACAGGCCAAAATTGGCCTTGATTGTCCACCTGTGACTATCATTGTCTGATTATCATTCACATGAGAAGATATTTTTGATAATCTGATAACCAAGGATAAAGCCTAATTGAGCATGCAGATAGCATAAATCGGACCAAGCTAACGTTAGAATGCAATCTCATAAACCTACAATTAAATTTTGCCCCCCAAAACAAACCAAACTTCCTGACCCTGATCGTACCTAGGCTCGATTACCAATACCAGCCACTGTTCGGGAAAAGAGCTCGCGCTCCTCCCCCAGAATGTAGACCGGACTCGAGAAAGCAGCTGAAATCGAGCCTAGATCGTACCCTGAATAGTTAAAAATGGCCATTTACCTTGACGTCCTGCACTTTACAATTTTATGGTGAAACGAATATCTGACAAAAATATGCACACCCAGAGCTGCAAATTAAGCTATTGTTTAGGGGTATATTACCCAATATATACAAGGAATAAGGCATTTTTAAATGTTTTCATTTCATTTTATAAAAATAAGGTTTTTCTCCAGGGCTTTAAAAGGGTTCATGTTTAAAGTTTCCAGTCCGTAATGCGCAGTTTCAGCACCCTAATGTTTATAAACATTGTTAATCTCACTCAATGGAATGTGAATCAATGTTATTCATTACAAACCACCTTATCTTTGAGGCCTTTCAAATTCTTTTTCCAACAGCGTCATTGATTTTTACACCTGCGAAGTTGTTTCATTAAGTGATATGAGAAAGAACAAAGCATAAAGCTTCGACCACTTCGCATCCAAAATTGTGGTTGTTTTGAAACTTTGAATTTACTTCATGTAAGTAGCTGCGAAATGTTTACATTTTGTGATGTATTTAACATGACACAAAACAAAAAATGCAAACAAACTCTCGAGAGTGCACAGTACAGACTGGAAATCATCTTTTAGACTAAAAACAAGATTTTTGGTTCCAACATTTATTTCAGAACTATTTAGTTGTAAATATGAGTAATTGTAGACTTTTAAGGAATACAGACAATTTTTCCTTGCCTAGATTAAGATATAATATGATACCTACGGAAGACACAGTTTAAGATATATGGGTCCTTTGATTTGGTCTAAGCTCCCAATATCTATTAAAATGATCGAAACCTTGTATCCTTTAAAGGTCATTCCCCAGTATTGCATTGCGCATCCTTACTGCGCATAATTCATGGCGTTATTAGCGCACGTTTGTGCACCTGCACATTGAAAACATGGCGGATTTGCCTTGATATTAAGTTCTGTCAGTTGAAGAATGGCTATAGCTCACTAA